CCGTTAGAGCACCACCTTGTAACACCAAAGTCAAGGGTGCGGTTCCCCATATTCACCGGCCAACAAAAAAATAAAACAGACATAACCATAATATACAGTGTGGTGCGTGACCCTAGGCTCAATTCTGGATCCCAAAATAAAACACAATAGCTATAGAAGATTTTTGACAAGCAGAGAAATTAAAATATGGACTATATATTATTAGATATTACTGAATTAACATGAACTCTCTTGGCTATGATATGGCATTGTGGTAGGGAGATGGGTGCTGAAGTACAAGTGATGAAAGGTTGTGCTGTCTACAACTTACTTTCATACACACACACACACACACACACACACACACTATACATGTAATATAAAGAGAGCACAAATATGGTAAAATATCGACACTTGGCCAGTCTAGGTGGAAGGCTATACTAAAACCCTAGTTTTCTGTAGGGCTAGTTTTTTTAAAAAAAATAAAACTTTGGGCATAAGGCATGATCTTTCTAATTCTTGAAGGACTGGCTTCTGTTCTAGCTCTTCTGTAAGCCCCTCTCACTGCAAGCAGAAATGATCTCCCTCTCCTCTGGTCTGTGGTATTCTGTGCCATTCTGCCTGGAGCCCGAGCTCTTGAGTCCTTGAGGCTTCACCTTCTTAGAATTTAGCAGAGAGTTCCCAGAAGACAGGGATCCTGCCCTGTCCACTTGCATCTTCCACTCACAGCTCAGCAAAGGTGTGCTCCTGAGGTTTTCAGTAGATTTTGGGGGTTGATAAATGGGATAGATGTCAGGTGGAGAGACTAACTTGGGTAGACAGAAGTATCACAGGGCATTTCAACCCATTCCTATATTGTATCTGAGCTTAAGAACAAATCAACACCCACACCCCCACCACCAATAATCACTGCTCTTATGCAGGCGCCCAGCTCACTGCTGGTGGGGAGGTAGAGTGGTTCTGTAAGGCTAAATTTTTAAAGAAAAAGAATCTTCTTTTCTTATAAAGGGAAAGGACGCAGCAGCTTTGTCTTTCTTTCTACTTGAAAACCTAACAATCCTGAGCTTTTGCTCCAACCTTCTGGAATGCAACCATTTACATTCTCAATTGGGGTGAGATAAACCCAGTCTCCCGGTTTACAAAACAGAGATGTCTCTAAGGTTGAAGGCCTCAGAGCCCCCTTGAAATATAAACCCAACCTCTGGTGGGTTTATCTGGGAGCCTATCTCACTATGTATTTCTTTGTCTCTTGAGGAGATGAGAAGTTTATTTTTTCTTCTGCATTGCTACATAAAAATTGTGAAGTTTCATATTTACTCTGTGTTCTCTTACAGGCTACCTATGTTCATGTACTTGTGTGCCTCGTCATTAATAAATACATTTTCTTTCTTTCCATATTGATGTGAAGAGGTGTCTCCCTGTTGTAGAACTTTAACTTCCTCAAGAGTATACTGGTACAATCTCTTTGGAGGCTGGTTGGCGACATTTACTGAAGTGAAAATACACATTTATTGCCACCACTAGGAATTTATCCCATGGATATACTTACGGATATGGACAGAGGCCAAAAATTCTAGAGAAAAACATGTCTCTTACTAGACACAGATGAAATAAATTATGAAGCATTTGTACAATGCAGTCTATGTGACTCTTCGAAAGAATGAAATGTACTTCTGTGAATTGACACTGAAGGATCTCTAAGCTATACCATCAAGTGAATAAAGCAAGGTGAAAAACTATGAGTTTATTACAATCACATGTGTGGACTGTGTATTTGTAGATGCATAGATCTTTGGAGGTAACAAACACAAGAATTTGTTACCTCAGTAAAGAGAAACTGGTGGTTGGGTGGGGAGGTTGTAAGTGACTTGTATTTTTCCTCTTTTTCTTTATTTGCTGGTTACTTTTCTTAAACCATGTAAATATAATATTTTATAAGAAATATGCTGGTTCACATGTAAATAAAACAAAAAACTACCACCACAGAGACTTTAAAGACATCATTAGAAAGTAGGTTCCCTAAGCAACATGAGAGCAAGGATTTTATGGATTTTGCTCAAGGCTATGTGCCCAGTGCTTAGAACAATGTTCTGCACACAATGGATCATAAATGTTTGAGATTGAAACCTAAGTTCCTTCTCTGTCTCTCCCAAAAAGTTTGACCTTGGAGTTATTTGATCTTCAAACCTAATCTCTTTGTTGATTTCCTACATGTCCTGTATCTTTTCTTTATCCATTTGCTCAAGCTGTCCCATTGGCTGGTAGTGCCTCTTCTATCTCCTTTCTCCACCCGTTTGAAATTGTTCATGTTTCTCAAGCCAACCTGAAACTCCACCCTCCAGTGGAGTGTCTCTTAAACCTACCTGGGAAATGCTCTCTGTCCTTAACTTGTGGTCTCACGGTGGTCTTATGATGGTAAGTCCATCACTTATTATATATGATGACTTGTCTGTTTAAACATGTGCCTTTGATCTAGAACAGTGTGACCTCTTATGCCAGTAATACCATTCTCATGGTTCGCCAGCCCGTCCCCATCACACGCAGAAAATGCTACGTGGCCATAGACCCATTCCATTTTTAATAATGGGGATGTGAGTCGAAGCTCCTTGGGTTTCTCCCATTGATTTCTTCTCCAGAGGTCCTATTAGAGACTCTCCACTTGTCTAAGTTCTACCTTTCCTAAGGTCAGTCTACACTCCCTCTTCCTACAGGAAGCCTTTCATGATAACTCAAGCTCAACGGATAACACTTTCTTCTCAGTCCTTACAACAGTTAATGTCTGAGGAATTTATTGGAAATGATATGTATAAAGCATTTAGTGCTTAATACCACACCTACAGTTAATATTACAGGTCTTAGCTTTTAAGAAAGTAACTGAAATTTCTTGGGCTAAGAAATCACAGCACACCAAACCAGACAATCAGATGTGGAAGTGAATCTTTTCATATCCAAATATGAGGAGTATGTTAAGGAAATGGATGCACCGAAAGATAAAGCTCCCAAGAGAACAGTGGCAACTAAATTTCTCAGTGCTTCTATGGCTGTGTGTATTGGCAAAGGGAACGATGTTCTAATTAAACAATCAAGTGGTCTTGACTTTCCCATTTTCTCTGGGTAACTTGGTTCAAGCCCAGTTCCCTCTCTGTTCCTCATTTTTCACACTTAAAAAAATGAAACAGAAAGGTCCACTCCAGTTCTTTCATAGAAGGAATCAATTCAACTAAAAGTTGAATTTGAATGAGGACTATTGTGGAGCTCTCTCTAGCTTGATATATCACCATCACCACCCCTCCCCAGCCATCTAGGTTTCTGTCTGTCTCTCTCTCAGCAGTTCTAGCTGCGTCCTCTAACTAAAGAACTTCTTAAGAGCCCACATCAACTTCTTTTCTCTGGCCATTGCTATAAAATGGCACACCCTTGACTTAGTCCAAATTAAAATTACACAAATTGTACAACCTCTACAGAAGAAAAAGTGCCCTCAAATGTTTTCAAGAGTATTATTCTTAGTGGATGTAGATAAGCCCATTAAATTATGAGTTTTACAAATTCCACTATGTAAATCAAATGTTAGCAACTCCTGCTTTTCACTTTTATGCTGATATGAGCTTCAAAGCTTCCTTTAAATTTCAATGCTTGACAGTGTTTGAGAAATAGATATCAAAGCCTTTTTGCCTAGTTCTTTTTAGCAATTGATGAGATATAGTGCATTTGGCCTAAGACAACTGATGGAAAACCAGAACCAATTTTGCTGGATTTTAATGTTATGAAAAGTGTGAGCTGTGAAGTAATAAACAGAAACATTATCACTTTGGCAGGATGTGTGTGTAAGTACAGTTCTTATATTACCAAAATTAACAAAAACTTTACTTCATCAAAAAAAAAATTCATGAGTGATATATGCTATCAGTACAGTATTTTCTATACAATACATAAGTGGTAAATTCTCTGTAAACACAAATTTCCTAAAATATGAAGAAGCTTCCTCCTTCATCTCTTGTGTTTTCAGAAACAAATCTTACCATTTGCTTCAAACCAAGTAAATCTTCCAAGACAGTCTGGCCCTGCACAATGTGTACCCCACAATTGCTTAGCATTCTGAGAAATCTCAGAGGGAACAGGTATTAAAAACATTTCTCTGTTCTGCTCCTGTGCTCTCTTTCTTGTGACAGTCTAAGTTCTTCAGAGCGATGGCTTGTGAGGAAGCTTTCAATTTGTCTTGTGGTCTTTAACACTGACATGCCCAAAGCTCTTAGGAGCTTCGGTCTTCTGTCTTTTTTCCTTTCCTTCTAGACCTTGGCCTTTGAAACTTAGCTCCTGTTTTTTCTTTTCTTTTTTTAAATTCTTCCCAATGGATGAGGCCTCAGAAGCCTCAGGAGCGCTTGGACTAATAGCACTGAACAAGGAGCTTCGGTCTTCTGTCTTTTTTCCTTTCCTTCTAGACCTTGGCCTTTGAAACTTAGCTCCTGTTTTTTCTTTTCTTTTTTTAAATTCTTCCCAATGGATGAGGCCTCAGAAGCCTCAGGAGCGCTTGGACTAATAGCACTGAACCTCAAAATCTAGCCTGAAGGCCTGATAACAAGTTGTGCAAACATGTTAGTAGATTTCCTTTATTGATTCCTTCCTTGATGCTGGTCTCTGACTCTACAAGATTTAAATCTTAATTTCTCAAGGTCAATACCTCCTCTCTGCTCTTTTGGTTCATACAGATCCGGAAAGTTCTGAGATGATGGCCCAAGAATGTTTCTCTCAGAAAGCCAAATTATTTCACAGACTTAAGTTCCTGTTTCTTTTCTCCCTTTCTCTACTATATATATATATACACACACACACATACACACACATATGTGTGTATATATACATATATATACACACACATATACACATACACATACACATGTGTGTGTGTGTGTGTGTGTGTGTGTATATAATTTTATTTTTTGCTCTCAACTGCACCCAGGGCTCTTTCTCTGGGGCCACCTGAGCACAAATCAGAAAGGAAAAGCGAGGTAGAGTCCACTTACCGTCCTCTGAACTACCAACACCATGATGGTTGCCACCGTGACGACGAGGCACAGCGCCAGCGTGGCCGTGGTGAAATAGAAGTGGCTGCGGCTGGTGGTCCCCACATGGCTGGCCACCGAGTCGGCCGGCACTTGCATGGCTGTGTCGCGAGAAGGGGCCACTCGGATGAGTGCTCTCCGCAGCCCCGGCTCCATCCTTTATATAGTCTTCCCCACATCACACCTTATCTGTCTTCATCTGATTCAGTTCTGGGCCCATCTCTGTTCCAAGAAGGATTGTCCCCCTGCATCCTGGATCATGTGACCTGGAAAAAAACCTTCACCGGCTGCCTGGTGGAGCAACTCTTCTCTGGAGGCGTGAGGCGAAAAGCGGCAGCAAGGGTGGGGGAGAGGTTCATTTTTCATCGCCCGAGATTAATCTGAGTGCAGAGAAACTGCAGCTACAGAGAATGTGGCTGATGTCAGAGGGTGCGTAGGAAAACGACGGTTCCCCTGCTGTGTGTGTGTGCGCGTGATCACAAAGTGACTTCTGTTTCGACTAGACTTGTCCGCAAACCACCTTCCTGCTCTAGAGAGAAGCTTAACGCTCTGGCTGGTGAGCCTGCAGCTCAGGGGACCTCCTCGGCTCCTGTCTCTTGGCTGGGTCTCAGGGAGGCTGGAGTCCTCCACCGGCAGTGGGATGACTGCAGCACGCTCTGGCTGGCGAGCCTGCAGCTCAGGGGACCTCCTCGGTTCCTGTCTCTTGGCTGGGTCTCAGGGAGGCTGGAGTCCTCCACCGGCAGTGGGATGACTGCAAAGGCTGCAGTTGGATAACATCGGCTCCTGCTGAAAACTGGAAATGCTGCCAGTTACCTGGAAGGAAGAGGCCACAAATGTGAAGATCTGTCTTATCTAAAGGGGGACAAGCCCCTGGCAATATGAAATTTGGGGACAGGTGTAAAGAAAGATACTGTGGGAATCTGCAAACATTGATTTTTTGAACAAAAATTCTGCAGAGTGTTTTGGGATCTGTGAAACTTGCAGATAAACCTAGGCTGGCCAAAAAACTCATAAAAAGGGGAAGGAATTGGTGGTGAGGGTGAAGGCGGGGGAGGGGAGGCGGTGTGGTGTGTGGGGTGTGTGTGTTCTGTGTGGTGCACTATGCGGCGTGTGTGTTGTGTGTTCTGTATGGTATGTATATGTATCTATGTATGCATCTATAGGTGAATAGGTATGTGCGTATACAGTGTGTGGGGGGGTGTGCATTTATGATTGTGTGACATATGTGGTGTGTGGTGTGGCATGTGTTGTATGTGTATGCAACTACTATAATCAAACTTCCACTGTCTCAGCCACAGTGCTAGGAGCTTTACACATGGCCTGCCCCCACCTTCGCCTCCACCCTCTGAGAAGGTAATGTTTCTTTTTTACAGATGGGAAAACTGAGGCTCAGAGAGAATGAAAACTGTCTCAACCAAAGTCACAAATGTTGATCAGTGAAAGAACTTGGGTGCATTTCTGAACCTGCCTGGCCACAAAGCCCTCCCATGCGTAGGCATTCAGCCTTCACTGCACTTGAAGGCTGAAAATCTGAGGTTTGGCCTCAGTCCTTCCTTCTTAGCCTTGGGTCTTGGTACAAGTCCTTATGGTCCGCCCTTTCCCATCTGTGTTACAGTTGTAAGATCGAATGAAATGATATAAGAAAAGAGTACTTCATGAATGGGAGGAGACCTGGCAAACGGCGCAGGACAATTCCTGTTAACATCCCAAGTGGTCCCCTGGGCCAAGTCTGGAATTTAGATGGATACGATAGATTTTCTGGGGAACAGAGCTGGGTCACATCTGTGGCTATTAATAATCCCCATTTCCAAACACCAGTTAAAATGTTAATTACTGCATATCTGCTGCCCCCAGGTGTGGCTTTTGGAAAACTTCATTTGGTATCACCCGGGAAAATGCCCATTCTTTGAAGCACTTCTCCCCTTTGTGTTCACGTTTTTGGCTGCAGTGTATCTCTCGGAGCCAGCGGAGATCTCAGACCCCCTTAAGGAAATACCCTGTGTCCAAAATCAAGCTTGGATTATTATCATTGCTGCCTTTGCATAGATCTGAAACTTCTGAGCATTACCTGAGTTAAGTCACACTTTAGAAGTTTGTCTGGATATTCCTTCCCAGTGAATTCATAAAAGCATGGGTCCTGGAGATGAGGAGTCATCAAGAGATGAATTGTTTTCTTGGGCTAAATAGAGTGGTAGGCAGTATACCCATTTACAGTCAAGGAAGCTGAGGCTCCCTTGATCCCAAGTGGAGCTTGGTTTTGAAAGAAGTGTGTGTACACATTCATTTGGTCTGGTAATTGAGGTGGAAATGAAGACAGCTGGAGTTTTTCAGTTTGTGTACCTGGCTGATTTGGGGAGAAGGCTGTGTTCTCTGGTGGGCATGGACAGTGAGTGGGTAGCACGGGCTCTGTGATCTGCCCAGAGCTGCTGAGAACAGGCTGCTCCCTTGGCCCTCTTTGTTCGGCCTCTTTGATCAAAGTGGAAAACTTCTGATTGTTGAATGGAAGCTGTGGGTGTTGAAAAATAAAAAGGCTTTGCTTGAATTTCAGGTCTTCCTGAAGGCCCGTGGGGCTGAGAAGGGCAGTGGAAAAAGATGTTTGTCTTACAGTTACCAGTTTTGCATATAGTACAATGTCCTGGGAGGGAAGGCTGACACTGGGGAAAATCGCCCTTTGTTTTTACTCAGAACCTTCTGAGCAGTTGAGATTTGCAGATCCATTTCTAGTAGTTTGTGTGTCCGATTTTATTCCTTCTTTTTCTGTGGCACTCCCCCACTCACAAACCTTCAATGGCTCCCTATTTCCCAACCCCATTGGTCTAAACTCCTCTGTGCTTTCCAGCTGTTCCCAAATCTAGCCAAGCCAACCAATCCCCTGTGCTAACAGGCTCCTGTCTCCCTTCTACTCTAGCCACCCAGTGTGCAAATGGAAGGAGCCTTTACAGAGTTTCTTGCTGAGTAATTTTCAAATCTCTTCTGGAAGTAAAACCATACGGGGTGTGTAAAAATGTAAGAAGGCAGAGCTGCTCTGGCTGAAGCAGAGGTTGGAGAGAGAGAAGGGCTGAGCCCAGCATGCTCATTCACCCTTTTCTGGCCTGGGATCTCTCCAAGATGAACAAAATTTAGAAACTTGTGGATTTAGCCAAAATCCCTCATTCCTCAAATGAGGAAACTGAGACACAGAAATGGGGATGACTTGAGGGAGTTCATACAGGGAGGGATGGAGACAGGATTAACAGTCCTCCTGCTCATTCTTCTGCTCTCCCTGCTAGCACGCCGGGTGCATCCAGGCTTCCTTTCATACTTTCCTTTCTATGGCTTCAGTCCTTCCTGTCCCTCCAACACCCTGCCCACCTGCCTCTCCTCCTCCAGGAAAACCTGCCCAGATCTCTCGAGTCCTCCAATTCCCTCTCTCTGGAACCTATCTCCATGCCACATAACCTAATTACCCACTTATCTATTCGTCTTGATATGTGACTGTCGAGCGTGTGAACATGTGTGAGCTTTGCCTTTCCTGTGAGGCTGGGAGTCCCCAAGGGCAGGCTGCACTTTCCCAGTCTTCTGATTTCTTGTACCTCACCCTGCATTACTTGGGGCCAGGCCTATGTAGGGTCAACTCTCAACCAATGTTTGTATTGACTTCGTGTTTCTGGAAAGAGAAAGTTTTAGAAGGGTGGCTTATACAAAGGAATTGCATGATGATATTTTTGCCTGTCACTGCTCAGCTGTCCCCGGTTTCCCCATCCTTCTCCAGATGCTTTACCTGGCTGCCATCAGCCTTTATGTTCCAGCATGGCCCTGTGAGAATGATCACCAGCCACCTTTCAGCCTATAATTAGTTGCTGAGATGTGACCCCAGCCCCTGAGACTCAGTTTGCAAACAGTACTAATCTCTTATCCCTTCTAGAGGGAACTCCATTTTGAAAAAATGAAGAGGAACCAGCTGTGGCTCCCCCCACCCCCTGCAACATTGCTTCCTTATATAAGGGACTGTGAGAACTCTATCATATACATCAGTGGTTCTCAAAGCATGGTCTCTGGACCAGCAGCGTCAGCAGCAGCACCACTGAGAACTTGGCAGAACCTTGTGACCTACTAGACCTACTGAATCAGAAACTCAGGCTGGGGTCCAGTAATCTGTGTTTTAACGAGCACCTCAGGGAATTCTGATGCCTGAAACCATTTGAGAAACACTGGTTTAGGGAAATAACCTGTCTGACTTCCAGAAAGAAACTCTAAGGGATCATCTGGTCAAAACTCTGGCCTTTGGCCAGGTAAATATTACCCACATTTTGTAAATGAGAAGACTGAAACATAGCAAAGTTATTGTCCAGGGTCATGTAGCTGGGTAATGTTGGTATAAAAATTAGTTTTCTGCCCATTGATTAAGCCCTCTTTCTAATCCCAACTGTGGCTGTAGGTTCTGAAAATACCATTGCTTATGCAGATGGAGATACGTTTGCAATAAAGTGGAGATACTCTTATTGATCTAAAGTTCTCTTGTGGTGACCACTATATATGGTAGAAAGCAATACTTTCAAAAGACTCTTGGTGTGTGTGAAAGAAGGACAGACTCCCTCAGGATATGTTTAAGCAACAAAACATGTAACTAAACTGCCTTCTGAGGATGAAGGGTCTTGTCCCATTAACTGTAGAGCCCTTTGTCTTGCTGGGGCTAACTTGAAGAGACTGGACATTGGAATTGAGCCACAGTGACATTTTACTGAGAGGACCCAGTGAGGACAAGTACAGTGAGGGGGAGATTTAGAGCAAGGTCAACAAACTATGGCCCATGAACTAAGTTTGACAGCCATTTAGTTTTGTAAATAAAGCTTTATTGAAACACAGTCATGTCCATTTGTTTATACATTCTCTATGGCTGCATTTCCACTACAATGGCAGAGTTGAATAGTTGCAACAGAGATCTTATAGCTTGCAAAGTAAAAAATATTTACTATTTAGCCCTTTACAGAAAAAGTTTTTGACTCCCGAGTTTGAGTATTAAAATCAACCCAAGTCAGGATAACCAAAAGAGATTTGGGGAAAAGAACAGAAATGTGTGTCTTAAGACTCCTTTAGAAAATCTCCACTAATGTCTACATTTCTAATTCATGCTTTCATGTGAGAAGATTCTTTTGGGGGAATTCACTAATTGTAGAGGAACTATATGTCCTGGTTGGTGTATGACAAAACTCGACTGCTGCAGAGGACACAGGAGCTGAAAGGGAGATGGAGCAGAAGACATCAGGGAGACAGACAAATAAATCTGCAGTACTGGATATACCAGTATGTATGTGTGTGTGTGTGTTTATAAACTACGTATATGTATATATAATATTTCTGTCAAGTTTTATAAGGTTTTGAGGCAACTTAAATGTACAGGACTGAAGCCATTAATACAAGGTAAAATATAGGAGCCAAGATCTAAAAGTATTGTATTAATAAACCCTGGC